GGGACACAACCATTCATTTATCAATGCAAAACTTTAGTGGCCCTCGTTGACCAAAAAACAACGAATTGAAATTTTGACTTAAAAACACAAAATAATTACACCGGTAATGGCCACATCATGCATGTGGACTTACAAAGAAGAATGATGATAAGTAATGAACACATGAAACTACTAACAATTTTTTTCCATGCATCACATCATACCCGTAGTTAGATATAGCGGAACATTTACGAGTAAGTAACACTAAAACTAACATGGTAAGATCCAAACCAAAACATGACCCGAGCACAATTTTGCTAGGTGATTTACAAAACAAATACATCAAACATAGGGATACCCCTGATAGATTCAGCACAACAAGCATGGTAAAAAACCATTAACTAGCATGGTAGGATCCAAAATTAAACTACCAATTATAGTGAACAATAGGGGATCTAAGCATTGTTTCACTAGGGGATTTGAAACAACACATGATCTGAGCATTGTTTTACTAGGGGATTTCATCTAGCAGATTAAGAAACAAACGGATCACCGGAATTACCCCACCCCAAAATACCAGTCGCTACAAATTTCACACACTCGAAACCCTAGCACAAAAATCATCAACAAAAAACTGAGGGGATTGGTCCCAGTGTCCGCAACCAACCCCTCCTACACCCCACAAACTCGAGAACTACACAATCACCATGTGATCGGCCATGCATGCAAATAGGTTCTAAACTAATAGCAAATCCCACATCGATAGAGCGCATTGGGATGCCTCCACCATCCGTGCTAACATAGGACAATGACCATGGAACGAACACCATTATCGTCGGCCGGAGAAAACAGAGAATGAGGGGCATACTAGGGAGGGGGATTCGGCTCACCCAGAGGACTCATCGGCATCCGCCGTGAAAAAACCACCGGCGATTCGAGCGACAGATGCCAGACAAAGAAGGGGGCGAGGAGAGCAGAGGGAGGAATGAGAAGGTGGTGGCGCGGTTACCAAAATTAGCCATAGCACTGCCTGATATGATGCATGTGGGGGAGGGGAGTGGGCGACACTTGGATTAGATTTGCTATGCCACGCAACTATGTCAAACTATGGCCCACATGCCATCGCCCCTGGACGCTTGCACGCAAACCACCACCATGACCCACTCGCTCCTGGTTATACGCCCGAGAAGGAAAACAAAAGCAACTGAACAAGGATCATCATCAGATCAGAAACGAAACACATCCAATGTGTTCGGTACTTATGCAAAATCAAATCTGGTATGCTAGTTACAAATTTTGATTGAAGTAAGCATTGAGGACAACTTGCTCCATGAAGAAGATCCTCAAGCACGGTGTGTTCCTTAAATCTGGACCAATAACCTACATCCCTCAAAAGCAATCACATCATCTTACTCATAGTGGGGAGTATCATATACTAAAATCATCCATATGATACTAGGGAAATCCCTTGGTGCACATGGGTACTGCTACCCATGATAAATTAAAAATAATTTAGTAATTACAGAAAAAGTCAAAAAATGCTAAAACTTTTTTGAATACAAAGTTGACCTACTTTTATACCCGTATAAAAAGTTTAAGGCGGGAATGAAATTCCGTTGACCCCAGACCAAAAAAAAGAAATTTCCAAGTGTACTGTTCATATACAGTACCTTGTATATAGTTTCATTTTCTTTTCCGTCGGGCACAATACCCTGGAAGGGATTCCTTCGTGAAACTTATTATACGGGTACTATCGCTGGACATGTATATTTACATAAATTTTCAAGATTTTTAGAACTTTTTCGAATTTGTATTTTTTTTGCATATCGGGTGCAACAGCACCCGAGAGCCACAAGTTCTCACCCTATGATACTAGTGTATGACACTATCTTTCATAATGCGTATTATTATAGAGTAGTGTCATATAGAAGTATGATGTTATTTACCCATGCATGACACATAGTAGGATACCATTTATTATGACACGGTATCTACCTATGTTACTTTAACCCCTCTCTCTCTTACTCCTTTAGTTTTTATTTATTCTGGATATTAGAGTTGACTAAAGTCAAACTCAGTAAAATTTGATCAACTTTATAGAAAGCAATATACACATTTACCATAACAAATCTATATGATGTAAAAGCTAATACGCAGACTAAATAAAGATGGATGGAGTATTTAATTGTCTGCCACATCAGCTTGTTTGCTTGTCCCGAGTGCATGATATCGGCTAAGATACAACCACTATGTGCAGCTTCGTGGTATCTAGGAGCAACACTAAGCTAGTCATAGTGGGGAGTAACTTAGACTAATGTCATGCATGTATGACACTAGTCTATGTTACTACCTCATAACACAAAGTAACATAAAAATAGTATCATACTCCCTCCTTTTTAGTTTATAGGGCTTATCTTAAATTTTAGTTTTTCCATTTTATAAGGCTCAATTTGATTGTTTCTCATCACATGTTCAGATTTCAAGGTGCATTAAATCATTGCATACAAGTATTAAGAGAAAATTGATCAATGCATATACTTTATGCATGCATGCATTACAATTAATGCATTGATAAACATATTTTTTTGAGGAAAATAAGAGCATTAATTAGGTGCTTTTGTAAACTTATAAAAAATATTCCACCGCTCACCATCTATCTTGGTTGATGAGATTTTTGAATTGAGCTCTATAAACCGAAAAGGAGGGAGTAGATGCATACATTTATTAAATTATAGACTCATTTTACTTTATGTTGTGTTATGTTACAATAACATATTACGTTACTGTAAAAACCTCTCTTCTCATTAATTACATGTCACATAAACAAATTTATCTAAATATATGCAGGGTTACTTTGTCAAGTTACTCCCACTATGACCAGCCTACAAATCTCCAGAAAAAATGAACTACTATGTGCAAATGGTAGTAGTACAAAACATAGCAGCACCTACAGTGCCTCACCTATCGGCTCAGCGTAATAATAAACTGTAAAGAAAAGCGAAGCAGTACTCCTCTGGTACATACAGCAATTTTTGTACCGATGCTTTGACGAGATCTCCCCACAGAAGAAAAGACAGACGTACCACGAACGGAGGTGATTCGTGTGAACAATTACACCCAGAACGCCCTTAAACCCTAGCTGACGAGAGACCCGGCAGCCTGCCCGTGTGGATTACCAGGAATGCCCTCGATGTCCCAGGGCGGAAATGGAACGGATGAGCACGACCGGTGACGAGAGGCGCCAACAGCGGCGACGTTTGTCGTATCGTGCGCTGCTGCTACCAGTACCCCAGCAGCAGCAGCAGCAGTACGTTCCGTTGGGTCGCTCCAGCCGATCACCAGAACGTTGACTTCCCCGGTCAATGGGTCCGCGAGCAGCGGGCGCGGGTCCGCGGCGGGCTCTCCGATCCTCGTGGACTCATCCGGGCCACCGGAACATGCGTGCGTGCGCGCCATCCGACGGCCGAGAGACGCCCTGCGCGGGCTGCGGCCGTGACCGTTGCCGCGAGTCAGTCCGCGGGTCCCGGCGCGCAGGGAGAGACGCTGGCGCGCCTCGGGAACCGGTGCCGGGACGGTGGGCCCGCGGCGTTGTTTATTTCTGCGGCCGGATGGTGTCACGTGACGGGCCTGGAATCCTGGCCTGCTGTCCCTCTGACCGGTCAGCCAGCTGCCCGCTCCTCCTCTGACCAGGCCACCTCGGCCTCCGACCGACACGCGGGCCCTTTCTTCCCTCCCTAAAACGAAAACATTTTCCGGTTTAAAAACGGGACGAGGAAAGAGGCGGGGTGGCGCAAGCGGGAAAAGCTGGCGAGAGGGAGGCCAAGCGCAGGCAAGCAAGCAAAGGAGAAAAAGAGAAGAAAAAAAAGATGGGAGAGAGAAAAGTAATGAGACCATGGGCGATTGATTCCTGCCCGCCGAGCACGCCCAAAAAGACGAGGCCTTTTCTAAACCGGCCATCAATACGGCCACTGGTACCATGCCAATTTAATTATAGAGTAGTAAATCCGTGGCGTAAACGAGCAGGCAAGCAAGCAATGGCTCCCCTTTTCGAATATTAATTCGGCTACTGTTTCGGTTCTCGAGTAGAGTGGACCACTCCCGCTTCTCCCCCCCTCTCTCTCTTCCCCGCCCGAGTAGAGCACTGTTGCTATTTTTCTCGAACGAGAAGGAAAACATACCCCAACCCAAGGTGAGAAAAATAAAGATTTTTTCCGTTTGAAGAGAGAGAGAGAGGGGGAGAGGAGAAAAGCAGAGGTAGCTCCCCAACTACGCCCTGCCGCTGGCCTTTATTACTACCCGAAATGCAGTGCCTGCATGTGAAGCGTGTACCCGTAACAAATCGCCTTTCTTTCTGCCCCCAATTCCTCTCTCTCCCTCCCCCTTCTTTATTGGCTTTACTTTAGTAATTTCCATTCCCCGTAATTTCGCTGCCCTCCTCCCCCTCTTTTCCCTTCGCCACCCCTCCCTCCCTCCCTCTGGATTGGAATAGCTCTGCCTCTACCTAGCCGAGTCCGCATTAGAACTACTGAGCTGAGTGAGGAGTGAGCTGAGGGAGTGGCGTCTGGTGTTCGAGCAAGAGAGGAGGAGGAGCACGGCGTGTCCTCGGCGATCTCATCCATCCGTCCATCCATTAGGTGCGTGCACGCGCGCCGCCCCTCCTAACCCCCACCTAATCTCTCGCTCCCTTTTGTTCCCATCCTCCATGCTTTAGCAAAACTGCTGATAATATTCTGGAGGTTGTTTGCTTGCTCGATCCCTCCCATGTTACTCCTCCTCGGTTGTTATCTCCAGCCTTTTTGTTCGTGAGTTTGTGAGTTTGAGATGCAGCTTCCGAGTGGAGTGGGGGAGAAATAAAGCAGCAGCAGCTTGGTCAAACTCGGACCGGATACTGACGGACTGATTGATTGATTGATTGGTTTTGTTTGTTGGCTTCAGACTCGAGAGCTGAAACTCAAGCTCACGGCCAAGCAGCTGCGGTAACGGCGCCACCCGGAAGACCAGGAGGGCTGGATCTGGGCGGAATGGAGGCCAAGGACGTCGCGCCGCTCGCCGCCGCCACCGCCGCCGCCCCCACCACCGCGCCGGCGCCGGCGCCGGCCCCGGCCGCTGCCCCTGCCCCGGTTTCGCAGGCCAAGCCGCAGCCGCAGCCGCACACGCAGCCACCGCCGATCGCCTCCATGCCGCCGCCGCCGCATCCGTTCGCGCACCATCAGCACCACCACCACCATCAGCATCAGCAGCAGCAGCAGCAGCCGCCGGCTGGGTCGGCGAACCCTGCCGCGCCCATGCCCGGAGGCGGCATGAGGCTCTCGTTCGACCAGATGGTGGGGAAGCCGCCCGGGGAGCACCACCCTCACCAGCACCAGCACCCGCATCAGCATCAGCATCAGCACCCGCACCAGCATCACGCTCCGGGCCCCATGCTCTACGCCGCGCCGCCGCCACACGCGGTGGCGCCACCGCCGGGCAGCAATGCGCTCGGCATGGGCGACCTCATGCGCAAGAAGCGGGGCCGCCCGCGCAAGTACGCGCCCGACGGGAGCATGGCCCTCGCGCTCGCGCCACTCTCCTCCGCCTCCGGCGGCGCCGCGCCGCCCCCGCCTCCAGGCCAGCAGCACGGCTTCTCCATCAGCAGCCCCCCGTCCGATCCCAACGCCAAGCGCCGCGGCCGCCCCCCTGGCTCCGGCAAGAAGAAGCAGTTCGAAGCACTCGGTACGCGCGCACCATTACTACCATAATCACCGCCGCTTCTTCCAGGAGTAAATCTTAACTAACTTGCCATGTCTGCCATTTCCTGCAGGGTCGTGGGGCATCTCCTTCACTCCGCATATCCTCTCCGTCAAGGCCGGCGAGGTAATAAACATCCATGCATGTGGAAGAAACACCACAGATCTCGCATTCTTTTCCTGATCTTACATTGTTTATTCCTTCTCCATCCATTCATCCATCCAGTTCAGTGAGTACTGATGGTGGTGGATCTATGTCTCTCTGCGACTTGCGAGCCTTTGACTCGCTAGCGAGTAGTTGGAGCTCCTCGCCGTATCAAAGGAACATGAGAGGAGGATCTGCCGGTTTGGAGGCCGGCAAGATGTAGTGGTGCTGTGCCCGGCAGATTCCCAGCATGGCTGTTGACCGGCCCCACCGGTCAGCAGCAAGTAGGATCTGAAGAAACCATGGAGATGGGCTCCTGGCCTTTTTGCAACTACACATACCAGCAAGTGGTGGCACCTGTGTCTGTTGCTAGTGTTGAGTCTGGACCATCAAAAGAGGGACTAGTTGAAACGATTGACGGTATTGTTGGATCAAATTCACCGTTTGGTGCATAGAGTTTCTAGTTCATCTAGATCAGGAGCAACCTTGCACGTTGATAAAAAGTTTCTTTATGCAGTAAAAGGGGGTGTAACTTTTCTTGACCGGGTTAATTTCGCCTGAAGATATAATGTCTCAAGTGGTGTAGGTTTCAATGTTGTTGTAACTGGCACAAAGCATGCAGAGATATGTTCTTTATGGTAGTTCACCTAGATTAGGTAGAAGTGGGCACATCAGGCTGTGTTTGAACTTGAAGTGAAGTAATTTTGTTTAGTACGAGATCCTTGTCCTAATTATGGTGTGGTTTACGTGCATAGATCAGATTGCATTTGCATTTGGTAAAGGTATATTGATTATTCATTGTTCGTGTCGTTTGTGATTTTTCTTTGCTAGCAACTCAATGATATAGCGAGCTTTAGATGTTTGTACTTGTTGTTTCTTTTGAGGAGTCACCTGCATACTTGTTTCCTCAATGCCATGCAATTTCCGTCTGCAATCTAATTCTGTCGTCACTTCATGCTTAAATTGCCTGCAGCCCGCTTGATTATGTTTGTAGTGGCTGAAAGCTTGTTTTAATGTAAAAGCCATCTCTTTTCATGACAGGATGTTGCTTCAAAAATAATGTCCTTCTCACAGCAAGGACCTCGCACAGTTTGCATTCTTTCAGCAAATGGTGCAATAAGCAATGTAACACTTCGGCAGCCAGCTACATCTGGTGGACTGGTGACTTATGAGGTACGTAATTATCTTGTGTGGATTAAATAGGATACTGATGCTTGCACATTCCACATGTACGTGACAATTAAATTAGTATTCTGTTCTTTGCTGAATTTATTCTTAACTATCAGAATTATACACATCAAACAGAATTCCATGTGTTTCAATAGGAGTACTATTTCAGTCTGATCCTCAAAGCTTGCGGCTTTCTGCTTATGATTGCACACCTTTACCTTGTACTCCCTCCGTTCCGAATTACTTGTCTTGGATTTGTCTAGATACGGAGGTATCTAGACAAATCCAAGACAAGTAATTCGGAACGGAGGGAGTATTACATTCATAGAGCTTTCTTCCTAATGCCACTTGGCTAACTTTGATATATGATTCTGGTGCAGGGTCGATTTGAGATCATCTCCCTATCTGGTTCATTCCTGCTTGCAGAAGATGGTGACACCCGTAGCAGGACTGGTGGATTGAGCGTTGCACTTGCAGGATCTGATGGCCGGGTTCTTGGTGGATGTGTAGCTGGGCAGCTAACGGCTGCGACACCTGTTCAGGTTCTATTAATTTGGGAATTGTCTCTGCCGTAGCTCCATTTTGTTAAAATATGTCAAAATGCTGACTTGGGATCTTTGCCATCAGGTTGTCGTGGCTAGTTTCATAGCCGAAGGTAAAAAATCAAAGCCCGCTGAGCCACGGAAGGTTGAACCGATGTCCGCACCTCCACAGATGGCCACCTATGTGCCAGCTCCAGTGGCCAGCCCTCCCTCAGAGGGCACATCCAGCGCATCATCCGATGACTCCGGCAGCCCCATCAACCACGGCGGGATGCCCTACAACCACTCTGGTGGGCAGCAGCACCAGCAGCAGCACATGCCCCCCGCCTACGCATCCGGCGGCTGGTCGCTCTCGGCGCACCATCAGAACAACAACAGGCATGACGCTGACATGAAGATGATGTCGAACTAACACCGCATGCTCAAGCCTTCGAAGAGAGCCCCATTTGTTGGCTGGGCTGGAGAGGAGCTGGTACTGCTGTAACGTCTGCCGTCGACCAGCAATGGCCGACCTGGTAGCTAGGAGATTTAGGTTCTTGCTCTCTGGCATGCTGTTTTTCCCTAAGTAAGATTAATTTAGCCGCCGTCTGTAATGCTGTAGCTCTCGCTGTCACTAACGTGAGTTTTTATTTTCATGGTCATGTACCTGCTGAGATCTTCACCTTCTAGGCTAGGCGTTTGATCGCTCTCTTCTGTGGATCATGAATTCTAGAATGCTTTCAGTTTCAATTCAAGAACTCTAGCTTGTTTACCTGCTCTTGTGCACTGCTGCTTGAGTGTGTTGCCAGTCTTCTACTGAGATGTCTGATTGTGTTTTCAGACGCGGTATGGGAATGGGATGGATCAGTATTATTGGGTTGAGCTGGGTCTCTGAAAATTATGTGTTATGGTGTATGGTTACTGCAGCAGTTTATTGTTCTGGCAGCATGAACTAGTTGATCATCTTTAAGCAATAAACTGCTGCAGGCTCCGTTAGGAAAGTAACGGGAAATGGGACATCTTGGTAGAGAAGAAAATGTTCCGCAAATGTTCATTCTGAATTTCAAAAACTGTTTCAAATAAATATTAGACCGGATTTGAAATTGTTTAAAACCTCGTGACTTCCAAAAATGCACAAAATTCATGGTCATAGGAAATGCTATAGAACAATAACCTGTACGAAATGTAAAAAAATATATGACTATTTATATTTCGTATGGAAAAGACATGAAGAACCTACTTGTCATTTTTTACAAGACACAAACAATCATTCTTTTTGTGGAATTTTGTTGGTTAGAAACACCAGTCACTCTAACTTCATGTAAATTTCTAACTTTTTTTTGCTTTGAAATGCAAAAATGAGCCTGGCTGCCTGGGTTAAAGTTACATGGTTTGGGAAATTCCAAGTTTAATACTCTTTTCCACATGACCATAAAGGATTGGGCCCTCGTATCATAGCGACAATGAAGAAACAAAGCATCCAGATTATCAGATTCGAAGTAAAGTATGAATGGTTTTATAAATTCAAAGCAGGCATCAATGTTTAATAGAATTGCTAAATTTTAGCCGGGTGAAAGCTTTTGGCTTTCATTCCTTTTTGTTGTCAGATCTCTTTGTTGAGATTCATGCAGTTCTGCTTTTCTTTCAGCTCTCGGGTTGGTTGGTTGTTATCGAACCCGTAAAAATTTCAAGGAGACCCGTTAATTCGCGCGCCCGGTGTCTCTTGGTAGAGTCCCCCTTTATTTGTGTCCAGTGGCAGATGCGTCAAGGGCTTGGCATGGCGATTTTGGTTTGGAGCTCTACCTTGCTGTGCTTGGGGGGTTTGGTGGTCGGCCGTCTGGTGCTCTTCTAGGATTCGTGGTTCATTTCGTCTCTCCCCCCTACTGCTTCTCCCTCAGCGTTGCATCTCTCCCCTTTTTGTTCCTGATTTTAATTCATTGCTGAGATTTGTGGTTTGCTTGTGTTCTCTGATACGTAGGTTTGCTCATGCTCCATTGTATGATGCATGTGTTAGTTTCATCATAGGTTTTGCATGATTTTATTTCTTCTGACGTGGGTATGTTGTTCGCGTGATACATTTTTGTCTTTTTGACCATTTGGATCCGTCATTTAGCTGTTGGTTAGTTCTTTCTGCATCGTATGCATCCCCTAGTTGATTGTGTCAGGGTTAGTAGTGTTTGTTGATTTGGTTGTGTTACGTTCGTTGTAATTTGTAGGAGATTTTGTTGCACAAGTGATGTTAGTTGTTGTTAGCTTAGTTGGCTGTATAGATGCCTTTATTGTGGAACATTGAGTTTAGGTTAGTTGACTACCTAGAGTTGTTGAGTATTTCTCCCTGAGTTGTAGTTCCTGATTTGTTTTTGTAAATGTTGTAAGTTTCAGTTTGCTACCCGGTGATTTAGTAAGTTTCACAGCTGATGCTTGACTATTTAGATTTTTATAAGCATGGTAGATAGTGATTTAGTTTAGTTTTCTCTGCTTATTAGTATTTTTTGTTGTCATGCGTATGCTAATATGAGTTCTTGGTATTTGTAGGGGGGGGGGGGGTGTGAAATGTGGTCGACCCTTTTTCAATAGTTGTAATTTCTAGTTTAAGTATAATTTCAATTAGTAGTCTCCTTAGGCATTTGGTCACTGTAATTACTTCCATTGTATATATTTTCTTGGCTCAATTGATGTGTTCTGTTGTTATCTTTGTGTATTGAGCCCTTTATATTTTGTAAATTGCACTTTTTTGTTTAGTGTTGTATTTGTATTTTTATATGCCTTCGGTCAGTAGATATTATTATTTTTGTTTGGATCAAATAATTTGCTATTGTTGCTCCATTTTATGCAACCTGGTAATGTTTATGCAATGGACAATTATTGAACGTGTGTAATGTTCGGAGTTTATTTTTGTTAGTTCACCAGCACTGGTCGCGTGGTTATTCATGCTGCAATACTTCTTAGTTTTTTTTCGTATGTGCGTTTAACTATATTTAGGAAATAGTTTATACTATGGATAGAGTCCAGAAGAGTTGTTGTAAGGGCATTCCTGCCGGCTGTCCTGAAGAGAGCGATGATTCAGATGTGGAACATTTTGTTCCTGGTGTTTTTGCTGAGGATGATATTTTCCAATTGTCTCGAGTTCTTAGTTATTTGGTTGCATTTTGTTAGTATGTTTTCATGCTTTTGTGTTTGCTTAATATTTTTTCACATATTTGGCAAGATTTTTCAGATCCTGATTTTGACCAAGCTTTGTGTGATTTCTACGTTAGTCATGTAAGGAGCGAGATATTGTCATATGTTAGTCTCTGTACAATGTATATGCCATATCCTAGACCAGAGGTCTTCTCATGTACTCTTGATGTGAATAGACTTACTTAAGGTCTATCAAACGCTACTCCGTAACATGGTATTTATAAAGGTAATTTTCTTGTTAGTCATGAAATATGTCGCGAGACATGGTTAACCGAGATGAGATCCCCCCTGATTCAGAGAGCTATTCTGTATGCCCTCTTGAATGATTATATTCAAAAAGTATGGCCATGCGACTTGGGTTAAGCGTTAACCTAGCTTGGGAATCACCGTTTCAAAAGGAGAGGTCGAGCTACCAACAAGGGCGACAAGTACTTTCCTTGAGCTATACAACACATATTGTGAGACAAAAGGAATGTTGCATATGCCACATCTTCAAGGTTCGTCAAACGACTTTACACGCACATGAAAGTTGACACATTCTGTTAGGAACCTCTACCATCTATGATCTATTGACTCGGGTTGTGTTCATGTACACGTGAACCTATAGGGTCGCACACTTAAGAGGGTTGAAGTATGGTTCAGATTAGGGTTCAAGTTAGACTGGGATTATAGCTCTAATGGGTCTAAGCCCATTAGGGAGGTGTATATAAAGGAGAGTGGGGCACACGGTTTAGGGTTGATCTTTGTCTCCCATCCAACCATCGACACCACTCCCCCACCCAAGTTGCCCATTAGGATCTAGCAATCCGGCGAGTGACGTTACTCCGTACGTGTGGATACCTTGGAGACGTTGCACCTGCGGTGATTGTTGGGGAACGTAGTAATTTCAAAAAAATTCCTACGCACACGCAAGATCATGGTGATCCACAGCAACAAGAGGGGAGAGTGTTGTCTACGTACCCTCGTAGACCGGAAGCGGAAGCGTTATAACAACGCGGTTGATGTAGTCGTACGTCTTCACGGCCCGACCGATCAAGCACCGAAACTACGACACCTCCGAGTTTTTGCACACGTTCAGCTCGATGACGATCCCCGGACTCCGATCCAGCAAAGTGTCGGGGATGAGTTCCGTCAGCACGACGGCGTGGTGACGATCTTGATGTTCTACCATCGCAGGGCTTCGCCTAAGCACCGTTACAATATTATCGAGGATTATGGTGGAGGGGGGCACCGCACACGGCTAAGAGATCAATGATCAATTGTTGTGTCTCTGGGGTGCCCCCTGCCCCCGTATATAAAGGAGTGGAGGAGGGGGCCGGCCAAGGAGGGTGGCGCGCCCAAGGGGGGGAGTCCAGCTCCCACCGGGAGTAGGACTCCCCTTTTTCCTATTAGGAGTAGGAGAGGGAAGGAAGAGGAAGGAGGGAGGAAGGAAAGGGGGGGGGGGGGGCGGCCCCCCTCCCAATTTGGATTGGGCTTGGGGGGACGCCCCCTCCCTTGCTCCTTTCCCCTCCTTTCCACTAAGGCCCAATAAGGCCCATATACCTCCCGGGAGGTTCCGATAACTTCCCGGTGATCCGGTATTGTCCCAATCTTACCCGGAACCTTTCCGGTGTCCAAATATAGTCGTCCAATATATCAATCTTTATGTCTCGACCATTTCGAGACTCCTCGTCAAGTCCGTGATCACATCCGGGACTCCGAACAACCTTTGATACATCAAAATATATAAACTCATAATGAAACTGTCATCATAACGTTAAGCGTGTGGACCCTACGGGTTCGAGAACAATGTAGACATGACCGAGACACGTCTCCGGTCAATAACCACTAGTGGAACCTGGATGCTCATATTGGCTCCTACATATTCTACAAAGATCTTTATCGGTCAGACCGCATAACAACATTCGTTGTTCCCTTTGTCATCGGTATGTTACTTGCCTGAGATTCGATCGTCGGTATCCCAATACCTAGTTCAATCTCGTTACCGGCAAGTCTCTTTACTCGTTCCGTAATACATCATCCTGCAACTAACTTATTAGTTGCATTGCTTGCAAGGCTTAAGTGATGTGTATTACCGAGAGGGCCCAGAGATACCTCTCCGACAATCGGAGCGACAAATCCTAATCTCGAAATACGCCGACCCAACATGTACCTTTGGAGACACCTGTAGAGCACCTTTATAATCACCCAGTTATGTTGTGACGTTTGGTAGCACACAAAGTGTTCCTTCGGTAAACGGGAGTTGCATAATCT